GATGATGATGATGATGATGATGATGATGATGATGATGGTGATGCTGATGCTGATGGTGCTGATGCTGCTGCTGATGATGATGATGATGATGGTGATGATGATGATCATGATGATGGTGATGGTCATGGTGATGGTCATGGTGATGATGATGATGGTGATGGTGAGGAGAAGGATGAGGATGAGATGGATGATGATGCTGATGATGATGCTGATACTGATGCTGGTGCTGTTGCTGCTGCTGCTGAGGATGATGATGATGATGATGGTGGTTGTCGTGGTGGTGATGGTGGTGATTGTGATGGTGGTGTTGGTGGTGATGGTGATGACGATGCTGGTGAGCGTGATGGTGATGGTGATGGCGGTGATGGCGGTGATGATGCTGCTGCTGGTTCTGAGTAGGAGGTGGAGGATGAGGATGAGGAGGAGGAGGAGGAGGAGGAGGAGTAGGAGGAGGAGTAGGAGGAGGAGGAGGAGGAGGAGGAGGAGGAGGAGGAGGAGGAGGAGGAGGAGGAGGAGAGGATGAATGCGGGAGGGTGGCAGGCAGGCCCCTGGGCTGTACACTTAGACAGCAAACGGCGAAGTGGAGGAACGGACCTTTCTGATTGACGTCATTGTCTGCTCCCCATTCGCCTGCGCGGTCAGCGACCAGCATCTGCGGCCTGGCGTTGCTGCGCGCAACGGCGGAAAGAACAAACTCCTGTACTAGGGCTTGTCTGTTACGCCGTTCGCCATGGATATCTTCGGCCGCATGGGCCTGGCTGCCCTATACGCCATTGTGGCGATGCGCATTGTCAGCTGTGACCATGCGCAACTGCGGCTGGGCACGGGCTGAGCTTCGGCGCTCAGCTTTCGCGCTGCGCGGGCCGACTTGGAGGCCGCGGTGGTGCCGGGCGCAGCGCGACACCGTCCCCCTGCTGGGTTGGCCGACGGGCCTCGCGCGCGGCGCGAGCCGGAGCTGGTGGGCAGGGCGGCGGCGCTGGCAGGCGAGAGAGTTATGGGCGTGGTGCCAATTCGGGCAGGCGGCAGTCCAGTGCGCTCAGGGGGGGTGGACGAGAGGACGAGAGGACGAGAGGAGGGATCCCGAGGGAGTGATCCTGAGTTCATTTCATCCAAGTTCGGCTTCCCAGGGCTCATCCCAGAATTTTTGGCTGTTGGAAAACAACTCGGGTTGAATACCGGCTTTGGAGTAGGGCCCAGGGTCCAGGAACCGTTTTCTCCAAGGCTTTTCGCCTTCCTGGCAAGAATGGGGGGAGGCTGGGGAGAGGGCGACGAGGGTGGTGAAGGAGGAGGAGGAGGAGGAGGCGGAGGAGGAGGAGGAGGAGGAGGAGGCCGAGGAGGAGGAGGAGGAGGAGGAGGGGAGGAGGTGGAGGAGCAGGAGGAGGAGGAGAAGGAGGGGACGAGGATGAGGAGGAGGAGGAGGAGGAGGAGGAGGAGGAGGAGGAGGAGGAAGAGTAGGGGAGTAGGAGGAGGCGGGGGATGATGATGATGATGATGATGATGATGATGATGATGATGATGATGATGATGATGATGATGATGATGATGATGATGATGATGATGATGATGATTGATGATGATGATGATGATGATGATGATGATGATGATGATGATGATGATGATGATGATGATGATGATGATGATGATATGATGATGATGATGATGATGATGATGATGATGATGATGATGATGATGATGATGATGATGATGATGATGATGATGATGATGATGATGATGATGATGATGATGATGATGATGATGATGATATGGTGATGATGATGATGATGATGATGATGATGATGACGATGATGATGATGATGATGATGATGATGATGATGATGATGAGGATGGTGATGATGATGATGATGATGATTATGATGATTATTATGATGACGATGATGATGATGACGACGACGAGGAGGAGGAAGAGGAGGAGGAGGAGGAGGAAGCGGCGGCGTCGGCGGAGGCGAGGGCGGAGGTGGAGGAGGAGGAGGAAGAAAAGGAAGAGGAAGAGGGAGAGGAATAGGAGGACGACTACGAATACTATTACCGCCACTGGGAGTACTACTACTACTACTACTACTACTACTACTACTACTACTACTACTACTACTACTATTACTGGTACTACTACTACTACTGCTACTACTACTACTACTACTTCTACTACTACTACTACCACTACTACTACTACTACGACTACTACTACTACTGCTACTACTACTGCGACTACTAATACTACGACTACTACTACTACTCCTCCTACTACTACTACTACTACTACTACTACTACTACTACTACTACTACCTCTACTACCAGCACCACCTACTACTACCACTACTGCTGCTACTACTACTTATCTGACAACTGATAACACCATTATACAGAATTTTGAACTGTAGTATTACTAGTAGTACCAACAATATTCGGATTGATAATGCTATCGAGCCAATCTGGTTCACACTATGAAATTGCGATTCAGAACACTGGTACCATGAAACGTACTAGTACTACTACGAGTACTACTACTACCACTGCTAGTACTACTACTACTACTACTATTATCAAGACTACTCCGATTACTAATACCACTACTACTACGACTACTACGACTACTGTTATTACAACTAAATGACTAACTAAATGACTGACCGACTGACTGACTGACTGACTAACTAATTGACCAACAACCCAGGTAACTATACACACTTATAACCAACAGTATGACTACCACTATTCATGTTGATGCTGCTGCTGGTGATGATGGTGGTGAGGATGATGATGATGCTAATACTGAAGATGCAGTACGAATCATAATGGTCTTAGTATGATGACGGAGAAAAGAGACCATAATCACAACCACTACGGCTGCTAATGCGACTGCTAATAACATGTGACGAACCATCGTAAAATATTAATTTTTGGAATGCTGCGACTAAGAATACGAATGGTAGGACGAACAGGAGGGTGTGGAGGAGAAGGAGGAGGCGGAGAAGGAGGATAGGGAGGAGGAGGGGGAGGAGGAGAAGGAGGAGGAGGGGAGAAAGGGCAGGACCACGGTCGCTTCCCACTTTCTTCAGCATCGTACAGGTTGGGGTAGCGTCGGGCTGCTACGTCGTTTGGATAACCCACTCCGTCAATGGACCCGCGCAGGTATCAATTAGTTCCCATTGTATAGAAGGGTAGTATTAAAGACCTTGTTGGGTTGATGATACTTCGATGGCCAATCGCTTTTTTGGTGTGTGTGTGTGTGTGTGTGTGTGTGTGTTTTTGAGGGTGGGAGCGGTGGCGAAATTGTGTGCAAAAACCGCGCGACGCAAGGGGGCGTGGGGTGCCTTTTCTGGATTCGTTTCGTTACGATGTTCGCTACGTGGAATCGCAAGTTGGTAACATACTAGGTTTGCCCGTGACAAGTCCTGGCGCCGTGCCGCATCAGCACTGTGGGCGACTGTTCGAGGGACGAACAGGAGGCTGAAACGTGTGACGCCTGTCGCCCCTACCCCTCTTTGGGCCCTCATGAGGTCTACCTGAGCCATCTTGGATTTCTGTGGGGCCAGAATGGAGCTCTCTCGGGACCCTCTTGGTCCGTCTGGGGCCCATATTGGGCGGTCTTGGCCTCTTTCGGCCGCCTGGAGCCTGTTTGGGGTACTTGGGCCCCCTCGGGATGTCTCCGGCCCCTCTTGGCCCGCCGTGGGGCCCTCTTCGGGTTGTCTTGGGCCGTCTGTGGACTCCCTGGGGCCCTCATTTGACTCTTCTGGTGTCTCTTTCGCTTGTCCGAGGCTGTCCTGGAACCATCATGAGTCGAAAAGGCTTGCAAGAGTTTCCGCATGTCAGATCGCAAGGCTTTATACACGTTTTGAATGATTTCGGCACGCCTGGAAAGCAGCATCTTGGTCTTCTGCAGTGTACATCGGGAGCCGCTTTTGACTTCTGGGGCGCCTTTTGGGGTCCTCTTGGGGTCCTTTTGAGACCTGTTGGGTGCCTCTTGAGGCAAGGTGGGCCATCTTGGTGGACTCCTGGGCCGTCTTGGAAGCGTTGGGGAGCTTAGGAGAACCCCAGCAGCGTCGAGCCACCCAGGCGAGAGGAGGGGCGGGGCACGCGAGTGGGCGTGAGGGACGGGGCGAGGCCTTACAATACTTGCATCAGTCCTACCAGCTGGCATGGTGAGGGATCTCCACGGTGCAGTGTTTACCTCTATCCTTTATGGTCCTGTTCGAGTTGCTTCTCGGCACCTGCTTATCACTGACGCGTGTGCGTGTTGACTAAGATGGCAGTGGTTTTCGCTTGATGGCCCAACCGAAGAGCGCATGCCCAGGAGCTTCGCCCATGACGCCCCCGTCTGTTCTATTGACTGTGTTGCATGTCTGCCATCCCGCTTGGTCTCCTCCAACTTCTGCCTCCTGCGGTTCCTGCTCGGCGGCCTCTCTCCCTTCTCTCGCCAGTTCCCCCTTCGCTACCGCACATTTTCTCTTCAGCTGCGACCGTATCTCTCCTGGTGAGACGGCCTCGATGACCACCTGCTCGCAATCGCACTCTTGGCCGAGACATGTATCGAGTTCAACTTCCGAGCGTCCTTTCCCATCGTTCCTCTCGACGTCCAGGGGTGAGCTTCCTGTTTTTTCCGTTCGATGGTGCCTCCGCTGCAGCAGCCTTCTTGGCCTGGAGGTCGGCTGGCCTGCAGGCCCGCCCCGCCCTCCAAAATGGCTCTGATCTTCCTCCCCGGCCTGCAGGCCCGCCCCGCCCTCCAAAATGGCTCTGATCTTCCTCCCCTGGGAGGCCTGCGGCTCACCGCCGCTTCGCTGCGTCGTGCCCCATTCGGCCTCTCCGCGCGCTCTGCGCACCGGTGAGCCATCCCACTGCCTGCGTCCTCGGCGCGCCGGGCTGCCGCTCGCACTGCTCTGCCGCCCGCTCTGCCGCTGCCGCTGCCGCTGCCGCGGCCGCTGGCGCCGCCGTTGGCGCCGCCGTTGGCGCCGCCGCTGCCGCTGCCTCCCAGCGCTGGGAGGCCCTCTGCCTCCGCGGCGAGCTCCCCGAGCCCTGCGGCGCGCAGGCGCCGCTGGTCGCCCGCGCCTCGCGGGCGGCGGGCGCCCGGGGGCTGCCGGCGGCGGCGGCGGCGGCCGCGGCGCTCCTGGGGCTCACCGCGTTGGCGTGGCGCCCGGTCGCGGGCGGCGCGGCAGCGGGCGGCATCGGCACCAGCCAAACATCCATTCGGGGGTCGAGAAGTTGGCACCAGCAGCAACATCGGCGGTGTGCCTCCCCCGAGGGTGCATGATCCCGATCTCGGGGATGGTGGTAATTTTGAGGCTTCCTGAGCGTCCGAACTATTACCACCAGCGCCAAACTCTAGGACCACCGTGCCCTGGTGCAACCCGTTGTTTTGTCAGCGGCACCGTAACGGGTACCCACTAACGGTTTTTTTTTGGGGGGGGGTGAATTGTCGAAAGTTATCATTTCAGGGCCTCTTTCTGGCATTGCAGCGTTGCCCACATCGAGGAGGATGAGGTTCGCCGGGTCACTGGCCAAAGTGCCCGTTAGTTTCGGGGGGTCGTAGAGGGAGGGTTCTCCCAAGGTGGGGCTGGGGAACGGGCCCGGCTGGAATCGCGGATACATCACAGATCGATCAGTGGTAGGCCCCCCATGGCGAAATCGCATGGTCCTGGGCTGGGTGGGCTATCGGGCCCCTGTCGGCAATGCGTGTGCGAATGCGGGCCAGTGCGTCCCCCCCCCCCCGCGCCTATCCCAACCTTTGGGGGGGGGGGGGGGCGGGGTCAGCCAACGGGGTTAAGGGCTTCCACAGTTTTGTGGGCGGGGGATGGTTGTGGTTGTCGTCCAGGCTGAGCAGGAAGACCCCCCCTTCCCAGAGATCCGACGCTCCAACAAGAATTTGAGCGGCGGGTCTTTCGCCGTTTTCGGGCTCCGGGGGCCCTCGCAGGGCCTCGGGACCGTCAAGAAACGGCCCAGGACGAAAAACCGGCCCCGGGGAAGTGGTCCGGACCTCCAGGGCGCGCGCATCGAACAGAGTTTGAGCGGCTGGATGTCTGGGTTGGGTGTTCCAGGCTCTGGGGCTCCTTCAGCCTTGGCATCGCTCGGACGTGTGCAGTCTTCCACGGCGAGGGCCATCGAGCAGTCCTTTGGCTCATCTTGCGAGAATGCACGGGGACCTACAGATGCTCGAACGTCGAAGCTCCAACACACCGGTTTCGCTCGAGACGGTCTCCACACACCGAGAGATGCTTTGCAGAGCGCCTGAGACGGGCCAATGACGCGCACGACATCGAAAAATACACGGGGAATGGACGTCCGCGCGATGGCCAGTGGCAGGAAGGTGTGAATAGAACCCGTATAGTACCCTCATATATACTCCTTATCCTCACTTCTCCTGTGCCTGGCCGTTTGGGCTCAGGTATTGGGTTAGATCGATCAGACCTTTGATCGTGCAGGAGGAAAAGATATCCATCTTTCCCTCCTTTCCTCTACCAGCGGATCAGGGGTTCTGTACCTTTGTACTCTAACCCCGTACACAGGTTATCAGCCCTTTAAAGCTCACAGTTCATCGAACCCCGCGTCGCGACCTCGCACGCGGCCTCGATGGAACCCAAGCGGCGCATGCGCCGCAAGGGGTCCATCGGGGCCTCGCGTCCGAGCTCTCCGACGGCGCGACGGCTCGGTGATGAGTTGGAGAGCCCTAGTGTGGACCGTGTAGGTGTCCCAGGTACCCCCCCCCCAGCTCAGACGGACCCGAGGCGCGGCTAGCTGCTGAACTTCACCGCCACGCCGCCCGCGGGGGGACAGGAGAAGGAGTAGGAGCAGGCAGTAGAGAATTTCACACGCCTGCCTTCGATCCTCCCTCTCCTCTTCCGTCGGGAGCAATCCCAACTGCGTCGGGCGCCAGCCCCGCTGGTCCTGATACTCCAGGGCGCTTTCGCGCTAACCGCCGATGGAACGCAGGTGCTGGCATGACCAGCCCTGCGACCGTTCCTGTAGCGGAGCACGTTGCTACCTGTGAGGAACTCAGTAGACCAGTGGCGGCACAGCCGCAGACGCAGTGCCCCCAGGTATCATCTCATCAGACACCACGCACACACGGCCCTAGCCGCAGCTCGTCCTTGCGCAACCGTCGCGGGGCCACAGGCCCATACGACGAGAAAAGGTCGAGCCCGCGTGCTGCCTCGCAGAGGCCATGCACTCCTCGCGACAGGGTGCAGAGGGAAGCTGACGCTTCCCACCTGTCCATCTCAGACGACCTGCCGGCGGTAACGTCCGCTGCAGGTGAAATAGCTGAGCTCAGAGACCAGGTTGAAACCTTCGTGTCCAGGCAGTGCTCTGGACTGATGCAGAGCGTTCAGACGAACGCTGCCAACGCTGCTGCTCTACGTCAAGATCTCGACGGCGCCTTAGTGATCATCGATTCCAGGATCGCTGAATATCGCCGCATCTTAGGTGAGCTGCAGTACCAGGTTGACCGTGAGATGTCACACTCAGGTGAACGATCAGCGACGGTCGAACATCTGCGCAACTACCTGGCGCAGATGGAGCAACAGCTTGTGATCGTACGCGACGCAGGCGTTTCAGCAGTCAGGATTCTCCACGACGAGATCCATGACCAGCTCCGCAGCCGAACGCCTCCAGCCGAGGCCAATGACCTCGGCGATGTTCAGTCTCAGATCAACGATCTTCGATCCCACATGGGCCACACAACCGCGACGCTTCGCACCGAAGCACACGCCAACTCGTCGAACCTGATCGGCATGTTGCAAAATACTGAGAGAATTATCACTCAAAGGCTTGATGCGACCAACGCTGTCGTGCAGCCACTCGCTAACCGGATCTCTGAAATCGAGCAGCGTTTCCGTGGTGTACAGGACGCCCTGGCAGAGTTGCGTGTCGGACGAGCCCAGACTGGCCAGCTGGATTCTCCTCCCACGGTTTACGATTTCGCCCGCCTCACTGACAGGTTGCAGGAGGTTGAGAAGGCGGCGTGCCACGCGCAGTCTGAGCTCTCCCAGGTCATTCGTGAGAGAGATATTGAAAAGGTACGTGTCGAGGAGCACCTAACACGTCTGGACAGTGAGTTGGAGGCGCACAGCGCCCGTCTCCGAGCCTACGAGCAACGACTTGATCGGTATTCACGACGCTCTCGGGATACTGGCGAGTACACACGCCAAAAAGTGGACCAAATACACGGGGGCATGACGAGCTGGACAAATCAGCTGATTGACCACACCAACGACACCACACTTCACCTTCAGCCTGCAGCCGACCTGCACAGGCCGACGGCAGCGTCCGCTGAAGCACCGCGCGCTTCTGCAGGACAACAACGACGTACGTCACCAGGAGCAGCCTCCGCGGCAGCTTCAGCACAGACACGCCACGTGTCTCCTGTGCGCACAACACCAACTACCGACGGTGTACCGATACCCTCGCAACCATTGTCTGCGGTTTCGGTCAATACTACTACTCCGATTAAGGAGTCAGACACCGTCCGAGTCCCCGTCTTGCCTAAGATCACACAGCTGTTTGAGTGGCAGCAAAAGGTGCGGGAGAATTTTGGGGCCGCTTCAGGGCGACCATCCAAAGGATATGCCCTCCTATGCGTGGCTGAACAGCCCGAGTGTACCTTCGAGGACGTACAAGACAGCGGAGACTTTGAGAGCATCGATTGCAAACTCGCACCGCTCTCAGCGACATCTTATCTTCCGACTTGCGCTACCAGATCAGGCTCATCGAAACCGGAGAGCACAAAGCAGGACGCATGCTCAAAGGACGCCAGATCTACTGGCACATCCTACAGTCCTACAACGTGACAGAGGTTGATGACGGCCTTCGTGATTTTGAGCGCCTCAAAGAACTGAGGGTGAGAGATGAAGATTTGCAACGTTTCATTGCTGACTGGGACGCTTTACTATTGGATTGCCGGGAGACGCCCGACCCAAAGATCTTGGAATCTCTGTTTCGCACGCAGATTCGCCGACGTGCCTGGATGAAACAGGATATGTACGAATACCAGCGCATGGAGATCAGCGACCCGATTCGTCCTTATGATTGGCTCCGACAGCGCGTTCTAGACGTACTGGAGCTCAAACAACTGGAGAAGAGTCAAAACAAGTTACAGCACGAGCATGAGACCCGTTTCCCGGTGCATATCTGCGCTGCCTGGAAGAAAGGCAACTGTCGCAATGGTGAGCGTTGCAAGGCTTTACATACCTTTTCCAGGGGTTGGAAGAGCAGCAGATCTTCCAGGGCATCGACCGCTGGCGGCAACTCTCGCCGCAGCGTCTCAGCCCCTGCGAATCCCAAGAAGCCAGCGTCGAAACCGTTTTGCTTCGAGTTCGCCAAGCGCAGCACCTGCGCCATAGGCGACAGGTGCAACTTCCCACATATGGCGCAGTGCAGGGACTTCGCGCAGAACAAGTGCCCCAAGGGTGACACATGCAAATACGCTCACCTGGCACCTGGAACGAAGACACCTGAGCGAAGCCCAAGTCGCCCACGGACCTCCAGTCAGGACAGTCGTGGCCGACCGCCGCCCCGCGGATCGGGGAGCCAACGCTCTCCGCAACGCGGGGGGTCCCGCAGCGCGGGGGGCTCATGCAATAGACGTGACAACCGACGCCAATGCGACCGATCTCGCTCGTCCTCCAGGAGGTCTCCCGACTCTCGCAGCCAGTCGAGAAGTCGTTGCGATAGATCTTCGCGGTCCTCCTCCCGAGGACGAGACAGGCGTGGCGGCGGGCGTGGCAGCCCACGTGGCCGCGACAGATCGTGCGGCAGCGACAGAGGACGTGACCGACGTTCCACGAGCCGCGATTCGTCCCGTGGTTTTCCAAAGTTCAGGGCGCGCTCTCCCGCCAACTATCGCCGCCCGCGCCACTCCGACCGCAGTTGCGTCATACGTGACAAGACTCTCATGGCCGCCCACAAGGCCAAGGCAGCATCTACCAAACCACGGCGTCGGATACGTTTCGACACACATACCGTGGAATACTGCCCGTACATCGTTTCTGGCAGGTCCACTCTGGACAAGTGGATGGAGAAGCCGAACGAGGGCGATATCGTCAAAGTACCAGATCCGCTGCCACAATGGTGGTGGAAACAGAGTGCAGACGCCCTACAACGTTGTCAACGTGAAGCAAAGTTATGGTATCAGGATCTACATGACTACCGACGCGACAAGGGGTCGGCGGAGACACCAACTGCGATCCCAGATTCCGACG